CTTGGAACGAAGTTTAATCTGTAATGTATTTTCCATTTTGTTCGATGACCTTTTGCCATCTCTCTGACAACTTGAAAATTCCACGCTCGTAGAAAGTCTGATCCTTTTCGGCCAAAAACTGAGTTAAGTGAGATTTTACAGCGTCATCGTCATTAAAAGTTTTACCACGAAGGGGGTTGTCCAGGGATCGAAATAAGTGGTAATCCGATGGCGCGAGATCAGGGCTATATGGCGGGTGTAACATCAATTCCCAATCAATATCCATCAATTTTTGCCGAGTGGACAAAGACGTGTGCGGCCTAGCATTGTCCTGCTGGAAAATATCAGCTTTACGATTGACCAATTCTGGTCGCTTTTCCTTGACCGCTGCATTCAATTTGTCCAGTTGCTAACATTCACGGATAATAAAAAAATAACATTTACAAATAATATATAATAATAATAATAATAATAATATAATAATGTATATAATATATAATTATATAATATATAATTAACATTATAACATAACATTTACGGATATCATAAAAATGGGAGTGAGAGACATCTATAACTGAAATCGGCAATTACTTAGTTGCCAACCCAATAGACTGTGAAAATTTGTACATTTATAGCACACATTATATATTATAATTTCATTTTATTTGTAATAATATTCGTAATATTAAAAATCTATTACCGAAAGGAAGAAACCTCATTTAATTTTTATGTCAAATTTTTCTTTTTCGGTTATCAAGAGAACGAGATTTGATGTCCTTATTCGAAGAATTTAGGGTTCTCGAACTTGAATGAATATGTTACTGCTTCTACGAACCTACTTCAGATATTGACAAAAGTTGTTATGGAGTTGTACCTATTCAGTATGAGAAATCCATTATCGGATTTGATAATTGTGGGCTCTCCTGGTTTTTAGTAGTTTTCGGGGAACTCTCATTTTAAATTCTTTTCAAGTTGTCTTTTGCGAAGCGTTAACAAAGAACATTCATCAAGCACATCTGACATACTATCGAACATTTAATTGGGACATTTTTTTATTGGACATGTAATTGGCATATTACTAGGCATTGAAAATCATTCGACTATTAATGAACTATTATTAATAATATTATTAATATTAAGGAACCACTCCAAAATCGTAAAGTTTCTTATAAAATAAAAGATATCAGACCATTGTAAGTCCGTCACCGTTCCTAGATAAATAAATAAATTCCTAGATACACCTGTAAAAATACTGACGATGATTGAAATATATAAATTTCCATTGTTGATCTAATTTATCATTGAAATCAAATTATAAATATAATCTTTCTTTTATATTTGTTTCCTGTTCAAGGAATAATACTCTTAAACACTCTTGCACAGAGGCTAAATTTCCGATTTTTGGCAAATCGTCGATATTCTAAACCAGGGGTGTCAAACTCAAAAAAACTAACTTGGGCCAAATGAACAATGCTTAACTTTAGGTGGGCCGCAAAAAAAAATCAATGTTCATAGAAACAAATATTTTTATTTTGACTAGTACATTGTAATAAACATATATATCTCATACATATATATATATATATATAATAATATTATATATATATATATATTATATATTATTATTATATATTATTATATTATTATATTTATATTATATATTATATATATAATAATAATATATATCTATATATATAATATACAATAACATATATATCTCTAATACTATCTTTCCTATGTCGGGAGAAATTTTATTGACCGAGACTATTTCTATTTTATTCTTACTTTGCGCCGGATATATTAACTGGGCCGCAAAAATGTTCATCTCGGGCCGCGAGTTTGACACTCCTGTTCTAAACAGTCATAATTTCATAAAGAAAAAGGTTGCGCGAATCGAATTTCGATTTCTGGCTCGCAGTGTACGAAAGAGGACGATCGCACGACGGTATCGATTCGACGGAAACGTGGAAATCGCGGAATTGTTCCGGTCGATACCAAAAGAAAAAAGAAAGAAAAAAATGATGAATCTGGTGTCCCAGAAACCCTAATCGCGGTTAGGAATCTCTCGTTCGCGTTCTTGCCGCGGTTTTATCGCGCGTCAGAGGCGGGTCGAAGCGTTCTTCGGCGTTCAGCGATCCGGATGATTTCGCGCCGGTCGCTCGTTAAAAACAGCTGTCGCTCGCGGCAACCGGAAACCGGAGGCCGGCCGTTCCTTCCGTTTTACGATCCCGTGGATCTCGACCGTGGCCCCGAGACACTCTCCCGTCAAAGTGGAGCCCGCTCGATAAAAAGTGGCTCACTTTCGTTGCCATTGAAACGGTTCGATCTCGCGTAACGCGAACGCAAACCGATCCGGCGAGCTGCACGCCACCGTCTCTCCGAAAGTGTGTTTATTAGAGGCGAGAGAGAGAGAGAGAGAGAGAGAAGGGTCGGCTCTAACGGGAGAAGTAAACGGGTATAATTGCTGGACTTTCTTTTCGCTGCTATTCCGGCTCTTCTTTTTCCTTCGCGTTGAGCAACTACGTCGTAATTGCGGCGTTAGTGAAATTCGAAGTATGTATCTAGTCCGGCGATATGCCGCAGTTATGCTTCTCGAACGATACACGATAATGCTCGGACGTTCTTTACAAACGCGATAATTTTTTCTTTTTTTTTTTTATCAAACTCGATCAAATGACTTGATTTTTTGCTTGATATTAGACGGAGATGCTTGACTTTCGAAAGTAATTGTTTCAATTTTCGTTCCAAGCTCGGAGAAGAGAGTTGATGAATCATCATTTCTTTCATCTTTCCTGTCGTGCCAGCTGATCGCAATTTTTGCGAAAATCTGTTTGTACATTGTCCAGTAAACCAGTCTGTCTGGCATAAATAAATATCCAAGACAATTGGTCCAATTTTAAAAAGTTGTTGAGTTTCGGAAAATGGTATTGATAATGATTTTGATATATTTCTAATGATATTATATCGTTTTTTTGGATATTACACAATTTGCATTCACGCTATATTTATTATTTATTATTATTTTGTTATTATATTTAGTATTTATATTTATTTTATTATATTTATTATATTTATTATATTATATTATATTATATTATATTATATTATATTATATTATATTATATTGTATTATATTGTATTATATTATATTATATTATATTATATTATATTATATTATATTATATTCGTTAAATATTATAATGATATTGATGATTCGAATATGGGTTCAGTAGGGTAGTGGAGCCAGTTACTGTGGGATTATCAATTGTTATCCCTTTGTGTTATTTTCGTAGATAATTAAATTTATATTTACCCAATAAAGTATATTACAATTTTCTCCATTCTTTTACTTTTACCGATCAATATAAAGTGTAATTATGCCTGAAAACAAACCCAGTTGTTCTATTTATAGCTCTACAAT